GGTATATATATTTCCACAGAGGCAGTTCAATGGTGTAGTACCTTCATGTCGAACATTCCTGGGCTAGGAGCCTTCTCAAATGGGGGGTCTTGTGTTCCCTGCTTGTAGAGGGCATAGAGCTAGACATCGCGAGCATAGGTATTAGCAGTCCGTTCCGCTCACAATATAACGATATTAGGAGGTGGGAATACCTTCAAGAGTTCGTCATTGCTTGGCTTAGCGAGGAGTCTTCGGCTGGCCTCAGCAGCAGCTTTGAAGTCCGTATCAGACATGGCTATATTCAGGCCCTTTTCTCCCTTTTTTCTGGCGTGAACCCGGGTGTTGCTAATGCGTTGTTGGCTCGGTAAGAGAGCTATCCGTTCAAAAATGAGGGGTCTTCTGCTCAATTAGTTAGCTCACTCAACTAGGTAACTGAACACTCGTTGTTAGGTGTTCTTCTTCTCTCACTACCAGCGGCCTACTTACTCTTCTATCAGGCGTCTCTTTTCTTCTTCTCTGCGTCTGTTCTTCACTTTTTTCTGTCTGTTGTTTTGTCTGGCGAGAAGAGGGGCTTCGCTTTTGCATTTATAGATGTTCCGCTCACGGATCACGGGAAAAGAAAGTGGCCCTAGCGCCAGGACTTTGCTGGGCGGAGTTACTCGGAGTTACTTCACCGCACGCCAAAAGTGATAAGAGCATGAAGTCACTGGAAGTACTCCGTGATAACTCGCATTGCGTCATGGGGGGCAGGGATAGCAGACGTGGGAGCGTCTGGGAACACGGTGGCCTTCAGGTCCAAGGGACGGGACAGAGGGGCCATAGCCGTGGAAGCTCGCACCTTGCAGAAGAGTGCAGCGCCAACACCATTTGCGCTCTTCTCTTTTTTTCTTTCTTTCTTTTTCTTGAGTCTCTTTTCTACCCTATGCAGTTTGAAGTAGCGAGACAATCATGACAAACAGTTGCAGACTGTTTGCGTGTGGTACAAATGAAATAGTTACCTCTTAACTATTTCCCACGTATATTGCAACTTCTATTAATATCATACCAACAGCCTACTAATAAGCGCTAGCGTTTGCTGACTAACATAGGTTAGGCGACTGCTTAGTCATGCGCCGTTTATTTAACACTGGAATCAACATCAGGGCCGCTGTTTGAACCTGGATTGAATACATTTCCCGCGAGGCATTTGCTTTCTGAAGGATAATAAAAGTCTAACATATGAACAGACTGTGTGCTGAATTTCAAAACATGCGCCAACCCAACTGACTCCATAAATATGCAGCATATGCAACAAAAGATATAGTGGAAGGAAAGCCACTCGGAGTCTACTCTGTACAAAGGGAATAAAAGAGGAAACAAAGGCTTGCGTAGACAGCAGAATGAAGGGCGAAATGTGCATAGAAGAGAAAACAAAAGGGCATACACTTCGTTAAGACGTCAAGGGGGCGTATAGCTTACCAGTCAACGGCCCATCCGTTCTTCCCCAGAAAATCTTCACAGGCTGCCTTGAGTGCATAGTTCGGTCGGAGGTCGCTGGTGGTCATTGGTACACGAGTTATGGGGTCAACCTCAGACTGTTGTAGATGTTTCAAGATGCTTGTTCTTTCGAACGAATGACCTGAAGGCGTAACGACCGGATCATGCATAACTTCAAAAGTAATGTTGTCGATCAAGTGCTCCGGCATATGCTGTAGACAGGGATTAGTTAGCGTCTGCGCTGTCTTGCAGCAAATGTATGCGGACGCATACATCTTATGTGGGACGAGATATTTCAAGCAAAGGATGAAAAGAAAGATATGCAAAGAAATGCCGGGGAAGTAACATACCCTTTCCTGAAGCTCTGGATCCAGCGACGCAAATGCATCTCGCACATTCTTTAACTTTTTCTCATATTCTTCCTCCAATACCTTCTTGTCTTCGTCATATCCGACCTTGCCCATCTCACCTTTCTCAAAAGCGTCATGTAAAGCGGCCATTTCCGAGCGCAACTCTGCTTCCATCAGGGCCTCCACCTGCTTCAGAGTCTCATTACGTTCTCTAATACGCGCGGTTTCCTTTGCTGCCCATATACTTTGCTTTGCGCGAAGTATGATCCTCGACAGAGGTTCGGAGTTGGGATTCTTTGTCTCAAGACTGGTCTTGTATGCAGCAAGAGCGATTTCAAGCGCTTCGGCAGGCCGCTGCAATGCCAACAGCGCCTGGGAGAGGTAGTAATTCGACTTGACGGCTGCAGCATTCTTGGGTCCGTAGAGATCCACGGCGATTCTTGAATCGTGTTCTGCTCCGTCCCACAACCCGAGCTTTATTCGGACGAGGGCGCGGTTATTAAAGAATGTCGGATCGTTGGAGTTTTTCTGAATTCTAAAGACGGGGCTTATTAGCATTGGTGTTTCGTTGGATCAGGGGTTACTGTCAACCAAGGAACTGCCATACGCTTGGGAGTATAACTCCTCCGCGCCCTCATAATCCCCCTCCTTAAACCGTTCATTGCCCTTAGCCTTTAGCTCGTAAGACATCGCTGATCACTCGAGGTACCTGGCTGCCTATTTCCAAGCGCGCGGGCGTATGAGAGAAGGCGAATAGTCTTCGGGTTAATGAAAGTTCGTAGTTTGTAGTAAAAAAAAAAGCGCTGCGCTAGAAGATGATGTTTGATAATACTAAAAGAAGAGTCGTAATATTATAATGTCTAGAGCTAAAATATGAAGTGCAATCAAAGACAAACGAAAGATAAGGATAAAAGAGAGAACTACCAGGCTGCATTTGCACAAAGAGCAAAGCGCTCATCGCTCCGCCCACGGCTGGCGTCTTTTCCCCTTCTGGATGTTGAAAGAAGCGGGTGGAAAGCTTGATTAGTCAGAGAGGCACAAAATGATCCCGATGCCGAGGCAGCAAGACCCGCCGGAGATAAGGGCGAGGAATACATAATGCCGAGAGTGCAGTATATAAAAACAGAATAGGGAGTGCGAGTATATTATGGAGCTAATGTTTCATAAAGACTAAGATAAAAGGGTATAGAGCATGTAGAATTCATTAAGTCTTGTTAGGGAAATCAGCTGGTGCGGCTGAAGAGCTGGCAGCATTCACAAGGGGCATATCAGATTGAACCATATAAGTGCCAGCAGCTCAGGATGTTCCCTTATCGGGAGTATCACCTAGCTTTGGCTGAAGTAAATGTGAAGATGGAGTCTTCCCGTTTCCTTCCTGCTCTTCCGCGTCGGAAGACACCTTTGACGAGCCAGACAGCCTTACGGGAAGGTGACCAGCTGCAACCAGCCAGTCTTTAGTCAAAGCATCCTGCACGGCCCGGCTCTCAGGGTACTCTAAACTAGCTGCAACACGTCCAACACTCGTATCATTCAAGAGCTTCTTCAAACGTGTAAATGGATGCCCATCGCCCATTGCCATAACGAGACTTGCAAAGAGGAACAACACCCAGGAAACAAGGAAGAGTATGGCGGGAATCGCAAATCGTAGGTCGTAGGTCACCTTTCGATCATAAGCCCTTACAGTTCGAGTAAATGGCCCATCCCCTGTTACACTGGCTCCTGACAACGCACTTCCTCTCATGTTGGTGCCGACAGTATTGCTGGTCATGATATCTGTCCAGATAAGACGTAGAAGCTTAGAGGCATCATCTGGCGTCTTTGATAGATTACGCCACTTATTCCCAAGGCCAACATTGCTTGTCCCAGAGTATGAGATATAGTCGTCATTAAACTTGCTGAAAAAGTCGTTGGTTAACAACTTTCCCATAATCCCATATGGCATGGACACTCCCGCAAGGTTATCCCGAGGTCCGGTAAAGGAAGATAATGTGAGAGTGTAATAACTGAAAGGCAGGTAAAACGAAGGGGCGCGAGTAAAGTTATAACCAGGGGTTTCCTTATATGAATCATCAACGATCCCCCAAAGTGGACCTGGGAAGGCGCCTTCAGACCCTGGGTGCCACCAGTCTTCCAAAGCCCAGAGCGGGTGATCGTCTGGGTTAGAGTACTGCTTGTCTTTAATATTCTTCACAGCAAGAGACTCCAACGAGGCCGTTCCATTCATCACGAAGGAGACAGTTTTCACTGAAGACTTGACGGCACCGGCACAAATGTATATTGGTTTCCTCCATTTTGATCCAGCCTCTTTGAATAGTGGATTTCCTCCATCTACTCTCGATGCCGCTCCGAAAAATTGTCCACACTCAACGTTATACTCGTTTTCGAGGGAGGCATCATTATACTGTCCAAGACATCTACCTTTGAGCTGAGTGAAGAGTCCAATGGTCCACCAATAAAGATTATCACTAGAGCTCTGAATAGTACGGTTGCCCACAGTCAAGGTTCCATTATTGTCGAATGAGATGCTGGGTAAATTTAGCCAGGCACCACTTAGAGACTCAGCCTCAATATCCGATGTCACAAAATATGGTACTTTACCAGCAATGGGGTAGCGTTGTCCGCGAGTAACATTGAAGCCATATCCCACTACACTGGTATCCCCATCTGTAAGATTGTACGTAATACCAGCAAGGAAATTGTTAAGCCAAGCTGATCGATCTGCCCTAAGTTGAGGGTCCGGAGATGTATAAGTGATGTTTGGCCAGCCATTATAAGGATCTCCATGTCGCAAATCGGAAAAGCCGCCTTCATCTACGAGTTCTATTGAGCGAATAGGTGGAGAAAAGGTTCCATTTCGGGTATCAGCTAGAGTGAGCTCATATGTGAGGTTGGTATTGACACAAGAAATCTCGGGTTCAACCCATAGAATATCTTCATCCCACTCAGCGCCAAAAGGCATTCCAGAAGGCATGCTATGGTTCCGAAAACCAATTCCGCCAGAGTGCATATCAGCGATCAGCCCTTCAACCAAAGTTATATCGTCTCTTGAAATTAAGGATTCAAGAGATAGTAACTGGCCTCTAGGGTACGGTTTGTGGCCATCAAAGTATTCAGAAGTATATGGCAGCCAAAACCGGTACTGGATATCCAGTATCCCCGCTATGCTTGATTTCTTGGAGGCGCTTGAAAACATCTCCGTGATATTCTTGGGGATCCTCGTGGTGGCAGTAATGTCGGGGTTTGCAGATCGGTTCCAGGATCCCTGGTTAATAACTGCTCCAGGAACGATGGCCCCAGGGCACTGAGTGGTCCTGACAAGACAGTCTCGAGACAAGGGCATATCAGGACGAGCTATCGTATTCCTGCCAAAACTAGAGAGATCAGGCGCATAGCGGAAGTTCACATCACGATTTTCTGCTGGACGAATTTGGTCACCGAGTCCTAAAGGCGTCACAACTCCAGATAAAACACCAAGAACTGCCAGTCCAATGTTGGTATAGGCCAAGGTTGAAACACTCCAATAAACATGTTTTCCAGCAACAGAGTCTGCTTGAAGTATGCTCGGCCATAACGTCGAATGTAGCTGACGGGCAAGCACCGACCTGTCGCAACGATTGTTAGAAATATAGGAGGAGAAAGGCGCGGGTATGGTAGTAAATGCTTAACAGTCATCCAAAGCTTACCAGGATGCCGCAGATAGCTTATCGCTAAGACGGTGAGCCAGCACAATAGCTAGAAGCAGTGGGAACGTGGCCGTGACTATGCAAGGGGTGCAAATTAGAGAACTGCTCTAGAGATGATGGGGTGGTCAATCATATGTACTTACGAACAAAATTTCCAAACGCTATTAGACCGGAAACCCGGCCAACTGTCAGCGTTGTGATGCCTTCCATATTATTGCACAAAGCTTCTAGTGATCTTTAATCCCACTCACAACCCCCTGGTTGTCCTTTTGAGCAAAGAGCCCGAGCAAATCCCATGGAAAACGAGGCTCTTTAGGAGAAAAGTCGCCTCCTCCTATTTGTGTCTCTCTCACGAGGTTTTGGTCCACCCGATGCCGATCAGGCCATCATTGGCCTTGGACCAAGACTGGAACCTCATTGCGATTGCATTTCAATTGGAAGTTGTTATGTATCTCTCAAAAACAATATGCACTCCAAATAACGAATACTTAGAGCACGCGCGGTACTGAAATATTTATATGAGTACTCCATACAGGGTATAGAGTAGCACATTCTGTCGTAGCGCCCAAACATGAAGCTGCTACCAGCAACAAACAGATCAAAAGATTGTCTTCGATACACATCGGTGTGGTTGTGGTCAACAACGCCTCGTATTGAGCCGCCCTGACGACTAGAAAAAAAGGTGTTGTTGTCTTTGCGTTATTTGGTTTAGTCTGCATTATATAATATTCTTATATAAGCAGTAGCAGGAAGCTCACCTGATTTCTTGGCAACATTATCTTCCCACGTGATAATTTTAATATCATTACATAATCAGGGGTCTTGCCAATATCCGGCAGGGGAGAAACCTTGAAAAAGGGCCTGACCATCCGTCATCAAACATCGTCTTCGTCTTTCTTCTTATTCTGACAGCTCCTTGTTGGCCATGTCGAGCTGGGACTACCATTTAATACTCTGCATCCCCGCTTATATTAGAGAGAAGACAACACGCGTCGCTCTCTACTGAGCACTCCGTACAGGGGTCGGGGAAGCAGGTGACTGTCACAAATCTTCGCTTCGCCAGAGCGCTGAGAAGTTTAGTCGCGTACTATTTTTAAACTACGACTCGACTCGGCTCGGCTCGACTCAAGCCAGCGTGGAAATGGCGACGGGGCGAGTCGTGCAAAGCCAGCTTTGGGACGCGGGAGCTGGGAAGTTTAAGCCATGGCTCGCTGGGTCGGCCACATCGACATCCGGGAGCCAAAAGCCACATCAGGGGGAGCACCGCTAGCAAGGCTTGTGGAAGGTGCTTGACGATGGTTAAACAAAGTGGTGGTTAAACAAAGTGGCCTAGCCCACTCGATAATTGAGCTTTAACTGGTGGGGTTGCATGCGCAGCTGTGTTGGGTGCATAAATAATCCAAGGCTAGCTGTACGGAGTAGCAACAAGCGAGCTTTGAGGGAAATGCTCGCATTTTCCATAGATGGGGCTCTTGAATCACGAATCATTTAGCGAACTCTTAACGTTTGAAAGGCGTTGAGGCGGCAGTGGCTGGCAATCTGCAAGGAGAAGCGAGATATCCAACCGCTTTAGGGGGCACAGGCGTCTGGTATATATAAATAGCTATATATACATGAGAGCTAGCCTTGCCTGGCATTTATTTTGTCCTCTTTACTCCGTATATTTCTATGAGAATAACCATCGTTGGAGGCTGAGAGGAGTTTCCTTTCTAAAGGATTAGCAATGGTTTCGAGTTTTATTGCTACCACATTGGCTGTTGGTCACAATGCTGTCAAGTCGATACTCTTCCGAATTGCAGGCGTCTGCTTGCAAATTGGCGTTTTTAAGCTCTTTTCTCTTCTCGCATCAGCCAAAAACGCTTTCACAGCCTATCTAATGTTTACAGAAGACTACATCCAGAGAACACTATTTGTCTTCTCTCGCGGCTTCACACATCAGTCTATCCTTGTTTTCTGCTTTACTATGCTTTTACTCACCTCTGGACTGTACGACACTTTACTCTGGGGCCTTGATTTCCCCGGATATATTTCAATCAAACGAAATGTCACCGCTTCCACACTTAAGGGTCATTTGCTCAAGAGGCCTGGGTACGTGGTATTCTCCTCTACAAGGCCAGAGGATTTCGACACCCTTGACCGTCATTTTACAGATAGCATGAACGCAAATTTGTTTCAGTCAAATCTTAACTTTTCGTTGACTGGCAACGTCGACCTGGGCAAGCCAGAGCCTGTCCCTCCAACCCAAAAATTCAATCTAGCGAAGAACATCGGGCCGCGTATATGGCTGGACAACGAAGGATTTTCAGTTTCACCCGATACCTACGTCACCACCAGCTCGATATCCAATCTTGAGACAAAAGAATACTACATCTGTCCTTGGGTTCCTCTAACGGAAGGCGAATCTGCCTCGTGGGAATGCTCCTTTGACAATATCCATGCGGACCAGCTTGCAAGAACTCCGCTTGGCCAACCAGAAATCCATTGGGATGATGTTACAGATCAGAATTATCTATCAGAATACATGCGAGCGAACCGAGAAGATAACCCTTGGTCCTTCCTGGGTACAGGAGGCGACACCGCCATGATGAAACAGATGTTCACTGTCACCAAAGGGCGGAGAAGACATACCTTCCTGGAAAACGCGATGAAAATATCAGCAGTTTACGATCACGAACAGCCTTTTCCAAGAGACTCGGTATACGATTTGGTCAAGCGGTCCTGGTCTCTAGATCCAGCTCAGTGGGATGATCCGTATATCACCAAAATCACCGAAAAGATCCAACACGGCGTATCTAATAACACAAGTTTCCAATTTGGCTCTGTTCAAAAATCTGGAAACAACACCGTCGTTCAGTTCCATTACGAGTACCTGAACTTGCTCGCAACGAAAGACGTAGTTGTGTTTTCACTATTCCGTATATCGTTGGTCAATATCACCCTCATTCGTTCGGACACGCTGCCTGAACCTGTGAAGCCTTTAGAGGCCTGTGATCACTACTACCACAACCGTGCAACAGGAGGGAAGGTATATGGTACCTCGTGCTATGAACAAGGGAAGACAAACAAAACCGGAGCTCGGTTCTTCGGACAAATTGATAGCTCCTCCGTTCTCGTCATTGGCGGGACTCTTGGAGACGGCAGCACCAACGTTAGCTCTGTGGCACTCAACCAAAGGGGCTTTGAATGGGCTGCAAACAATTCGGAGAAACTGGATAATCTTGTCCTATCAAGAGGCTACATAATGGCCATTAACCCGGGCCTGGTCACATTGGAAACGAGCAAGGTGCAGGCGGCTATGTCACCGCTTCAAGTTCTTCTAGTTATCCTACCTATTATATTCTGTGCTGCTGTTTGGGTATGGCTATGGCTTCTAGTAGATCCTCACTACTCCAATTCGCTTCTTGCCAATCTTTATGCGACGACGAACATTGGGGATACGGATACTAGTGCGGATCCGGGTTATATCCACAAGATGCCTGATATTGGTTTCGTCACGAATGATGGAAAAGTTCAGATGGCTACTTCAACAGGAGTCTTTATACACAGCCATTCGGAAACCGTGGGAAAGGTGAATATGGAACAGCAGCAGACAGATCCACGGGGTGTTTATGCGCCCATTCAGAATCCTTAAATGTTACAATTATCGAATGTGATAATAATATGGATACTCTATATCCTACATCAAAGTAATCAAGCTAATTTTCAGTCTCCCTCAACCTACCACGACAAAAAATATGTGTATATCTAAAAGATAATGTTGCATGCATTACTCGAGGCTCTCCTCAACTTCCCGGACTACCTTTTGCACGCCCTCAATCTCATGCGCAAACCGACCCAGGAACATGCCATCCACGGCTTTCCCTAGCCCCCCCTGGCCCCAAAGCCCAGGTCCTGCACTGCCTCCATATATCACTCTGACCTCCCCTTTACTTGTCCCACCGCGCACTCTATCAATCACAATCCGTATCCCCTGAACCACAGCAGCTATATGGTCAACACCAGCGGGAACTGGCTGCCCAATTGCCCATACAGGCTCATAGGCAAAGATACATGGCGCATCCTGCGGAATCGCATCCAGCACCGCTCTGACCTGAACTTCACACTCCTTTACCGCCACTCCAACAGCCTCTGACATCACAGGCCCTGGGACGGGTATTTCGCCCACACAGACAAGTGGGACCATCCCCTGCGCGCTGACGGCTGCAGCTTTCCGACCGACCTGTTCGTCTGTTTCCTTGAAGATTGCCCGACGCTCTGCATGACCTAGCTCAACAATTGACACGTTCATCGAGCGTAGACTGACAGGAGACACTTCCCCTGTATATGGGCCCGCAGTCTCCCAGAAGCAATCCTGGGCCCCTAGCAGGAAGGAAGGTTGTTGCGACAAGGATTCGGGGACAGGGCCTGTCGTCGACTGCAGCGTATCAAACTGTTTGGTGGTGAACTCCTTGATCACCTCGGAACATGGATATACAGTTAGAAAGTCCGGGACGAGGGCGAGTAGAAGTTTTGATCTGTTTCTTGCGCAGACGATCTCGTTCCGTGGCTCCAACAAAGCTCGTAGGTATTCCAGCGTCCGCGAAGGGGTAAAATACATCTTCAATGAGATTATTAGGAGCGTCTTGGGGAGTGCTGGGTATGTCACCCCTGATGCAGCGGAACTGGCCATGCTGCTGTCTCTCTATCCTTGCTTCCTCAGTGTTTCTCTCTCCGCGCAGCCTGAGGACCATCCGAGTTGTCCAGTCTATAACTTAGGTAGTTAACTAACTAAATAACTAGTTAGCTATAACAAGTCACATCCTCTAGCGGCAAAGCTCCCAGCTGCCATCGGCGTCGCTCCGGCTTCCCTTTTATAACTACGAAGCTGCTGCCGGAACAAGCTTTATCGATAAGCGGTTTTACTTGATACGGTAACCCGGTGGCCATCAAACACCAAGTCTTTCTCTTGCTTTGCCGGCACCTTTTGGCGTTTGCGAGATGTCGCTGTTTGTTGTCACTGGTGGCTGAATCTTCCCCTCGGGCAATGATGTGAGCTACTTGCTTTAATATGGCGGGTTGATGTAGGGCTCCACGTCCTTTGTCCGCTGGCCAAATGAGGAGCCTGTATCTGCTTTACCTATCAGCATTGCCCTTTGCCTCCATAACCATGAACTCGGCCCATCCGCGGTATTTGTCCGGTGGTACAGATTATATAACAGCCTGGGAGAGCGAGTGATTCTGCATACGCCTTCCGATGAAGCGTCAAGGTGGAGATGGGATTGTCATCACAATCTCCATACCACTCCACCATCAGGGTGTAATTGAGAGAACGGATCCAGGACGGCTATTTTTCGTCCTGGGATGATGGAGACAAGTATCACAATCTGACCCGTGAGAAAGGTGACTGTCAAATGGTTCTCTACACAGGCTGATCCGAGGGCATGTTACTGGCTCAGATATAAATATGGCCAACATTCCCTCTCTGTCGGTCCACAATTATCACATTACCATACATCCAAGTCACCTTTGAATCAATTAGAAAACAGTACCACTCCGATTCGAAATCGAATACCGAACGCAATCTATCAGAATCCCTGAAAAATGGCTGCCTCACTCCCACCTCTCCGCATTGCCATGTGCTGTGACGATGCCGGCCACTCCTACAAGGAAGCCATCAAGGCCCATCTCGAGAAGAACCCTCTCGTTGCTTCGATAACAGACGTCGGTGTCCCATCTCCCACCGACAAGCGAGCATACCCTCACGTCGCCGTCGAGGCCGCCCACTTGATCAAGGACGGAAAAGTTGACCGCGCCCTCATGATTTGCGGCACTGGTCTCGGAGTTGCCATTGCTGCCAACAAGGTGGCCGGCATCAGGGCTGTCACTGCTCATGACCCCTTCAGCGTCGAGAGATCCGTCCTCAGCAACAACGCACAGGTCCTCTGCTTCGGCCAGAGAGTCATCGGTATCGAGCTGGCTAAGAAGCTGGTAGGCGACTGGCTGACCTATAGATTCGACGAGAGCAGTGCCAGCGCAGAGAAGGTCAAGGCCATTGGAGAGTACGAGGCCAAGTTTGGTGAATCAAAATAAAATGAACCGGATGTCATAACTCTTCTCTCTTCGGCACTTTTTTCTTTTTGGATAGACACTGGGATATTTTTTTCATTCCCCTGCCTTCATATGTTATGAATTAGCATGTAGCGCCTGAAACGCAAGTATTAAAGCAAGCCTGGTTAGGCGTTTGAATTCCATAAAACTTATACACCATCTGCGTGTGAATATCGCTTCTTTTCCCCCTCTCTTCCTTCTTGTGATGCTTGTAGCCGGTCAAGGTTGTGTCTTATATAGAAGAGTTTAAGGACCCATGGCAGAGTCGAGTCAAATTACGTAATGACCTGGTTTTGGTGGTCCACGAACTGCGACAAAACAACTCGGAACATCACTCGTTAACTACAAGACAACAAACAGAACCCAGAGACATCTAGTTTGCTGATGAAGTTATAGCTAACTTACAGCTCTCTTGCAACAAACATGATTATAAAACAATTGCGCCTTGGCGCAATGCCAATGGCGGGATCCCGCGCCGCCTCATGCTCTTGCTCACGAGCCCGCATAATAAGGAGCTACTCCCTCCCCCAAACCCATTCTCTTCGTTCGAGCTCCAGAAATGCGTCTACCGCTGCAAGTGAAACCACGGCGAACACAATTATAAATACGGCACCGCAGCCAAAACGAAAATCCAGGGGCATTGTTTGGACTACACTCATGGTGCTTGGGTTGGGTTGCGGGTATATCTACATCACAGACACACGAGCTGGAGTACATCAATGGCTAGTACCACCCATGTTGCGATGGATATATCCAGATGCCGAAGATGCCCACCATTTCGGAGTGGACATGCTTAAGTCACTATACCAATATGGTCTGCATCCGCGTGAGAGGGGGAACCCGGACGGAGATGGCAAATTGATGACCAAGGTTAGACCGAGTAGAGGCGCCGCAGGGCATTTTCCCGGCTGTCGAACCACACGCTCTCTACTGATGCTAACCATATGTTGATATAGGTCTTTGGATATACTCTATGCAATCCAATTGGTATTTCTGGTGGTCTTGATAAGGACGCGGAGATTCCATCCCAGCTCTTTGAGCTTGGGCCAGCGATCGTCGAGGTGGGAGGGACCACGCCTCTTCCACAGCCAGGAAACCCAAGGCCGAGAGTATTCCGTATACCGTCACAGAATGCGCTGATTAACCGATATGGACTCAACTCAAAAGGAGCAGATAACATGGCTTTACTCCTCAGACAGAGAGTCCGCGATTTTGCATACTCCGCGGGTTTTGGCCTGGGTGATGCCGCCGAACAACGAGTCCTAGATGGAGAGGCTGGTGTGCCTCCAGGAAGTTTGACAGAGGGCAAGCTTCTCGCCGTACAAGTGGCCAAGAACAAGACCACCCCAGATGGCGATATTGAAGCCATCAAGCGAGATTATGTCTACTGCGTTGATCGCTTGGCGAAATACGCTGATATACTGGTTGTCAACGTCTCCAGCCCAAATACTCCCGGACTAAGGGACCTACAGCGTGTTGAACCCCTAACAAAGATATTGACCGGCGTTGTCCAGGCGGCAAAGCGAGCTGACCGACAGACCAAACCATATGTGATGGTCAAAGTCAGCCCGGATGAGAACTCTGAAGAACAGGTTAACGGTATCTGCGATGCTGTGACCAAAGCAGGTGTCGATGGTATTATTGTTGGAAATACTACTAACCGTCGGCCCGAAGCTTTACCCAAGGGCTACTCCATGTCCAACGCAGAACAAAACACTCTTCTTCAAACAGGTGGGTTTTCCGGGCCTCAGCTAATCGACGGTACGGTGGCGTTGGTTGCCAAGTATCGTGCCGAACTTGACCGCCGTAGCACCCTTGCAGGCCCGGCAGTGGACGAAGAGAGTATACCAGCCACCGAAATTGCGGCTTCTCAGCCTCGAAAAGTCATCTTTGCTTCCGGTGGTATTACAAACGGTGTGCAGGCTCTTGCAGCAATCAATGCTGGTGCTGATGTTGCTATGCTTTATACCGGCCTAGTGTATGGTGGAAGCGGGACGATCACTAGGATGAAAGAAGAAATGCGAGCGGCTATAGGGTCTAACTAGGGGAGTTCATTTCAATAGCCCGCTGGTAATTGGCTTGTCTCTGGTCACTATATACTACTACTGCCTGCATGGTAGTGACTCCCTCAGTCTTGCCTTGTACACATATTTTGTAATGTACAATCAAAAGGATAGAAAAAAGTCTGCAGTCTAGGTCAATTGCTCTGCACTTGCATTAAAATATATATATATCGAGGTAGTGGTAAGGGGCTTGAGAAGTAGTTAGTTTATAGAAACAATGGATGTTAGTGCAGCAACTGGTCAGTATCAGAAATCTAGATCTGCTAACCCTTCTCCCTCAACGTACGCAAGACCATAGCATTCCCTCCTCACTGCATCCAAAACTTCCCTATCTCCATTCGTTAACATTTTCGAATATTCCTCCAGAATATAGATGTTATCCGTCCACACCTGTGCTTCCTGCTTCCATCTTGCGATATCTGCCTCCTTTTGCACAATGGAACCTGACCCATCCCCCTCAGATCTTTTCTTGATGTCGTTCTCCAGACGCGCGAGTTCAGTGTCTAGCTCGTCTTTCTTCTTCATCCACGCGACTCTTTCCCTCTCATTACTTTCCCGAGTCCCATCCTGGTTTCTTGCCTCATCAAGACGCTGTTCTTCCTTAAGCGCCAGGATTTTGCTTTCCAGTTCTCCAGTTGACTTCAGAAATTTCTCTACCTCCTTGTCCAAGGCATCTATTGTTTTCTCACGGGCTTTCTTCTCTTCACCACCCCACGCCCAGTACCAGTTTCCACTGCCAATTTTTTCCACATGGAGCTGGCCTTCGTCAATCAATGCTTGAATATGCTCTTTGACTTGCATGCCATTGATTGATGCTACTGGTGGGAGTGTTTTTTCCAAGTCCTTGAGAGTGTAGCATGTTCGTGATGCTTGAATGTAGGCCAGAATACGACGTTGCTTCTCCGCAGCTGATACACCAGCTTTTGGTGCCTAGTAGTATTGTATCGTTAGTATATATCTATTAGCCCACCTCACAGACGGTCAACTAAGGAAGGATTTTACAGGCAAGCCTAACCATGTCGACCGAGTACGTAAATACCACAGAGAAAGGTGAAGATATGTGATTCACAGAGTATGGGCGTAATAAGAAAAGTGATGTATTGGAGGTTGACGTCAAAAGTTGACGTTAATTTAAACTTGGTTCCTTTCCAGGCACTTTTCCGCATTAGGCTGGCGACAAAGTTCCCCACTGTCAGTGTTTTCCTCTTGTGGCGCGTGATATCACGATACTCGTGGAATGTAGATATAATAACCACCATGCCACTTATGGCTTAATTTATAGGTACATCACGCGAGCAAGCTTGAAGGCGTTGGTTTCTGATAGGGGTATCAGCTCTAGGGTAGGGAGCATCCTTCTCGCCCTTGGTATCATGTTCCGTTTCAACAGGGAGCAACTACGCGAATACAAGCGCGCAGGATACTCAAGTTCTTCTGGATATAAGGGGAAAAAAGTGGCTGATGTCTCGGGGCTTCTTTCTGGAAGTGTTTATGTGCTATATTCCTCCCAATAACCTCCTACTCAGAATGGAAATGCCTGTAATATCCAGCCACTTTAGTATCACCATAAATCAAGGAGAAGAGATCGGTAGAAATGGCCTTCAGTAAATACTGAAAGGCATCATTGCAAGCCTTATTAATGGCAATGCACCAATGCCTAATGCCATCTATCACAGTACGTTGGTGCCAAGTATGATGGTCAAGTAGCTGGTTTCTTCGAAGTTGACCGTGTCGCTGACAGACTGCTTAAACGCCGGCGCTTTTTGCTCTTTCGCTGATATGCCAATGTTGTAGCATCATCGTTGAAGCCTCCGCTACCATAACCATCGATACGAGACCGCGTACTAAATGCGGAAACCGATGTTTCACGGGATCTCACAGAAGGTGCTCCTGTGGCACATTCAGGATCACAATCGCTGGATACTGTGCCCTCCACCAAGGCCATGTCTCCTGTTTCTTGGAGAGCCTCCACAGCTGCCTCTTCCAGCAAGAAACCCAGCGCAATCAAAGCGGTTTCGTCCATGCTACGCCACACCGACTGGCCACGATCAACCGTCCTATTTGCGTACAGGTCTGAAGTGTATGCATGAATAGCCTTGAGCAGGTCGGAATCCGGCAAGGGCTGGTCCTCAGGTATATCTTCGTTGGCAAAATAAAAATCATTTTCCATGTATCTTACGGGGGCGTTTTGTTTCCGAAATAAAACTTCTTCTGGGGAAACAGCTGGGAATATTCGTGTCGAAGAGGTGCCATAGTAGTCATTGGCTAGAGATGAAGATTTATTGAAAGTTTTATCGGTTGCTACGCGACCTTTCCAAGCTGTTAGCTGGTTTGAAGGTAATGTTTTCGTTTCTTTGATTTTGCTAACCTGCAACGGCATCATAAACATTCGCATGTCGGTACTTTGGGCCCCTCTTTTCGCCGGCATCTATATGCTGCCCAGGCCGGGCCGACTCGCCATCTATATCCATTGCGGCCGTGGACATATTGTGTTGTGAGCTCCTCTAGCTGCATCATCTTCTTCCTTCCGTTCTTCGTCCAAACGGCCAACCAGCAGCAGTAAATATAGCTTAGTCATCGTCTACGGGAGCGTTGAGTCTTGGCAAATTGACGTCGCCGCTTGAGCCGCATCTGGAACGAAACAACAACATCAAGTCGAAGAAACAACATCAACGAACCTGACGAAGCCAGCTTATTCAGATGAATGAATTCATATATCTTTAATAGGTCCCAAGGATCTATTCGCCCTTCTCAATTCCATCTTGCGCAATGCACACGCCTTGTCCATGGTCTCGCTCCTGCGCTAGGTATCCGGTTCTCTGCAGGCAAGCAGCATGAGTCCCAGACAGGAGCAGCCGACGTAACTAAAGGGAGCCCTGATACATGCCATTCAGATCTAGACGTTGGTGATGTCTGGGCACATAAAGCCGGTGTTAATGTTTTAGCAATCGATCAGTACGAGAAACGGTAGTATGTGTTCTCTATGATCTCCAAACACAGCCTTTAAATCTCGTCGGCATGACGAGGAATTTTACAAGGAGCTAAGAGAATCAATATTAGTATGATCTCAGGTGGCGCAGATACCTCTATTCATTTGTGGGATTTAGAAAGTCGAGGAACAGAACTTAGCTACCTTCATAAACCAATTGCTTCCGTCTCAAAGTATGCTGTGCCCAGTTTCTAAACTAAACTTTTCGCCATTACTGACACAGACGGCATCAAAAGACAAACGAATACCTTAACCCATACTCATGCGCTGACGTCTCTCTCGATATACCCATTCGATCCCACGCCGTCAACGATCCTGAGTACTTCGCATGACGCTACATTGAAATTGTCTAGCCTTGGGGAGTCTGATATCACTACAGTTCACACATTCAATATCCATTCAACGCCCTATTCTCACTCACTGTCGGCGCACCAGGCATCTCATTTACTTATTGCAGTCGGTACGTCAGAGAATGCTATTCGGCTACTAGATCTTCGCTCAGGATTATCAACCCACGCTCTTCCGGCTCACACTGGAGCTGTTATTTCCGTCCAATGGGCTCCGCATAACCCTCATATAATAGCCTCAGCTTCAAAAGACAATCGAGTTATTATTTTTGATGTCAGGCGGGGCGGCCGTAACTCAGCAATAGCTTCCTTTGATATGGACGACTCGGTTGGTGTCCTATCGCCTGAAAGTCTCACCAACCAGAAAACTGGGAAACTATACAACTCTAGATCCCGTGCTCATAACGGTACGGTGACCGGAGTGAGGTGGACATCAAATGGTAGCCATTTATTAAGTGCAGGTCAAGATTCACGAATTCGCGTTTGGGACGCATCTACAGGCGCGAACACCCTCGTCCATTTTGGCCCTCGCATACGAAATAGTGCTTCTCTGCATCTTGCTGAACGAGCCCCTCTTGTTCTCCCTGAAAGCAATAGTGCTGTAACCCTCTCGCCAGGTCATGAGGCGGTGCTCTGGCCAAATTTTAACGACCAAGACGACAGGGGTGAAATCTTCATGTTTGGAATTCATGATGGCGTTCTACTCAAACACCTACGAGTACCAGGCTTGATATCCAGAGAAAAATTACGTGGAAGACCTACCGCTCTGAGTGCTGCGAGAATCAATGCCCTTGCTTGGCGGAGTAATGGAGCCTCTGGAGAAGGGATGGAAATGTTTTCGGCTCACGGCGATGGTACGATTAGGTCGTGGGTCTCTCAAACCCAGGAAGACGAAGATTTTAAGGCAGAGACTACCCGGGGCGAACGAGAGGAAAAGAAAAGAAAAAGGGATATTCTTAACGAGGTATACCGCAATCTTATACAGCCGGGTATTAGCTTCACCTAGGAAAGACGATATCTTTATATCTAGTTTATCCGGAAAATAATAATAAAAATAAGCATAGAATAGAAGTAGAGCTGTCAGCAATTTTCTATATACCCTCCTTCTCTTAGTGCTTCGTACATTTGAGTTTTGGGGGAGGGAAAAAAAAAGAGCGGAATAATGATTGACATAGAGATCAAACCTGCGATTTTCAACGCAGCTTTGTTTACAGGGTGGACGCCTTAATCACGAGGCCACTGGATTCATAGAATGGCAAAAACGTAGCCTTTGCTGAGGAACTATTGCGCTTTACACTTAGTAAGGCGAATCTGCCTCACCTGGCCTCTTATTTCTCTTACATTTAGAGTCAAGAGGTTGGCCCTGAAACCATGGCTCGCTGTTAACCCTATATGCCTATTCCGTTATGGGACCTGGTGTTGGGGATTCGGGATATTGGGCAGCGGGGGATATTTTTTAAATGACTTGGTTTTAGAAGATGTATATCTACATGATCTAATCATTACTTTTATAATGAATAACGAGGTAGCATGTCTTATTCAGAGATATGAAACAGCAATTATATAGTACTCTTATTCATTTAATAATTTTTTTAATTTGTTTTAATAGCTAAGGCTTTAGCTAACTAAAGTTGAAGCTAAATGTAAAGGAGGTTAACTCTCGTGGCTATCCTTTATCCCTATAGATGTTCCAAACTCACGTATATCTACTCCAGTGACCAAACAATGCAGAGAGGCATCCTAGCCTAAAGATACATGAAGTTATAGGTTAACTAAGCAGGAAGCAGGTGTTGTGAAACAAAAGTAATAGAGACAGTGATCCCTCTTCCTTGAAATGCGGTCATCGCTATGCAACGCAGAACTGATAAAGGGGGAATTACTCGGGGCCCCAATAATAGAAACGGCCCTTGTAGATCCAAAACGGCCCCCAAACTTATGCAATCTGAAGCTCAGCCACCCATGGAACTGAAAGTGTTTCAAACGCTAAATGTCTCCAGGCTGGTGCTGGTTTGTGAAAGGGGGTATGCTTTGCGTAAAGCTAAAAAGGGGTATATTGAATAAAAATTATGTATAGAAGGATTCATCATAATGCCTTCCGCTGAATAAAAGTGTCGCCAGCCCAGATCTACTGGGCGGTTTAAGGTGCGGTAGTGATCGTAAAAAGGAGTGCCAGCTCCTTCACCTTGATGAGAGTATCAAACTCATCACAAGGCTAATAATTATCGTAAGACATCGTCACGTCTTCAGTGTAACTTGAACAAATCCAAACAAGAATAGATATTAGATGAGGAGGAAATCCCAGCCGTTTTGTTGCATGACATCTCGCCAGCGTACAATGTTGTTAGTTATCAGCGGAGGCTCCCCATTGGACTGTTGGGAAGATGCTGCTGGTTGTTGAGCCTCTATGACGGCTTTCTCGTCTGCAAGGCGCCAGACTTCTCGAAGCACACATATCATGCGGCCAAAACTTCCTAGCTCTGCCTGCTGACCCATTTGCTCCATTCGCTTGCTAAGCGTCTCGCGGAACGTACTCCCAGGTGTTGCAAGAGAGCCGCAGATCAGTAGTGGCCAGACAATGGAGGAATCAAAGCCTTCTGGTCCACTAGGAATGAGATCAAGCAGGTCTGCAGCATGGGAGATCAGACTAACGGTACCTGGCTGGTCACGCTTGGATCCGGGAACAAGACTGCAAAGGTAGACACGGGCAGCCACTCTGAATAGAGCAGTGATGTTTTTGGAAAGCTGCTGAGGCAGCAGAACTCCACTTTCGGAGAATGGCTTCACGAGAGATCCCGCGGGTGGTTCAGTGTGGTCAAGCTGTTGAGCGAGGTTTGTGACATGGCCACAGAGGCTTGCGTGGTCTGTTCGACCCTCGATACAAAGTGCATCAAGACAGGATATTTCTGCGATCAAGTACATAACTCGGTCCTCGCAACCCATTAGTTCACATAGTCCGGCACTTGTTCCCCCAAAGAGCTTGGTTCTGTAGGTATGTGCGAACTGTGGCATCTGTCCCAGCATCGTTGACCCCAGGATATCAATCCAGGCAGCTAAGCTCATGCTGAATGGCGGGTGAACAGCGCCGTGGTCAGATTCTAGAAGGCGATGTGGAAGGTCTAGCTTGTGGATTAACCCCGTTGCTGCTTGGAAATGTTGGTGCCACGGAACATCGGGTAGAGAGTCATTTGCGCGACCAACAGCACATTGGAAGAACGCCATGCTGAGGGTTGCCTCGAGAATCTGGAGATGGTCGGTATCCTGGTTCAACGAGGAGCAAAGCTCAGAAACTGCCTGGAAGCGGTGCTTAAGGATGTCGTTGTCAATGAAGTCGCTGGTGATTTGCTGTGTTGACTTTAGATGAACGGCGGCAATGCTTAGGCAGCAGTGCAGATAGCACCTGTTTGACTCGATGGCAGGAAGAATAACATCTGCAAAGACGCCTCCTTGCTTCCTGGTCTCCAATATGGGGAATATTTTGCTAGATACGTTCTCAAAGAAGTGATCCAGTAGGTGGCGGTCTGAATCGTCAACCTGAATTGAGGGCGCACCCATGGGAAGGTGAGAAAACTCAAAGCAGTTGTGTTGTGGAAGAGCCTTGGACTCGAACACATCGTCTCGCGCCCAGTCATCTTCGACAAATGAAGGTAGCATAGCATGAGCGAGAGGTGGCTGGAAAGTATTGAAAGTAGACGTTGATGAATCTCGTCGAGTTGGGATATCATTTATGAATAGCTCGCTCTCAGTTTTGACGTCTACCTCGTACGGAGTTGGAGCAGACCAGAATCCGTTAGAGTCTAGATGAGAAGCTTGATCTTGAGCATATGGGTCATAAAATTCTTGGATGTGAACATGGTTAGGCTCTCCCTCAGCACAGTAAGTTGGCTCTAGAGAAGGGTCTCGAGTTTGCGAGGTGGTATCTGGGTACGCCTCAGGGGTTGGGGCTGAATGAGAAAGACCAGGAGGGCTGTATGTGCAACATGTTTGACGGGGGCACGAAACCGTCTTTTCGTTCATCTTGGTGCTCTTGATGAGATCCTTGATGTATTCCTTTTGCGACTTTCTCTGTTCATTGTTTCCCCACCACATTGGTCGTTCATATTCACATCGTAACTTGAGATTCTTGCAAGCACGACAGGCAGGATGGCCTTCGTCGCACTTCTTGCGTCGCAGGCGGCATGTGAAGCATCCTGTATTAAACTGTTAGTATGTAGGGATCAAGTACGAAAGGATCTGTACATACCAGAGCGAGATCTTTTGTGTAGCTTCTCTGATTTCTTAACACCAGCGCTTCCCTGTGTTGACGAGCTAGCCGACGACTTTCCTGTGGACTTGCGAGGCTTTTTGGACTTGGAGGCTGGTTTGACAGGCTCTATAGAACTGGCCATACCTGGAGAGGAGGCGGACGATTTGGGGGAGGGGGCAATAGTAGCGAAAGACATTTTGAACGATGACAGTAAGCTTTTAAGAGCAAAAACAGTTGCAACGAAAAACAGATGGATCCGTCCAAGGTAAATAAAGGTCGAGGATGTGCCACTGAAGGGAGTATTAGATAACCTCTTAACCTGACCGGCAGGAAGATTGATGAAAAAAGGAGTGTAATAGCGACCGCGGAGTATGAAGCCCTGGACGAAGAAAAGAACTACAAAAAGGGGATTAATTATGTTCTTTAAAAGATTATGCTGCGGGCAAGATATTAGTTTAATAAGTGCTAACTGACCAGGTTGGGCTGTTTCTATTTTTGACTCCATTAATAGAAATAGGCTGCGAGGAGATATGAACTTAAAATTGAGAGTAAAGAAGCAAAAAGCCCGCTACGGGAGCTCAAGGATTATGCAAGGAAGGGCCCATGGCGCAAGCTGACTGGTCAGTTCTCATTTTCCGCGAGCCGCCCTGGTCAAATCTAGTTACGCACAAGCATGCTGATGGCCAGGGTATAATGGGTCCAAGAGTATAGCGGGGGTATGGATACCATGCAGCATGGAGGTGTGATCGGGCGTAGGATAGGCTGGGAACATGCAGCTCAAAGATTGACCGCATCTGATCCTCAGCAAATCAGAGCCTCGATGTCCACTCTTTGGAAGAGGTTCTTCGACACCCAGCCTTTCCCATTTTGGCTCATATATTATCCCAATATGTTTAATACACACGCTCAGATGGCAGTGGGTGGCGACAGTTGGGATAATACCCCGTTTATTGATTGTTATCCGGCGGTTGACTCAACTATCTCACCCGTCAGTTTAGGCTGTCAACCTGTACTCTGTACCAGAGGCATATGTATGCAGGGCTGGGTCTCCGCCCAAGTTACTATGAGAGCATGAGTACCCTGGTTCGGCTATGGCTGGGGATGGGCAGCCGAGGAGTCTTGGTGATATGCATGCTGACTGTACGGGGTACTTCTAGAAGAGAGCAGCCTCGCTTAGAGACGAAATCGATATCCTCTGTTTGACCAGGCTTGGGCCGTCTGTTGCCATTCCAACCAGGTACAACGTGAAATGGTAGTACATTCAGTAATCAGTGTCGTCGATTCGAGAGGCGTTTTCTCTACGGTTAGCTACCCCTGGGAGAGAAGGACAAAAACGCCATGTTAGCCAAGAGCATGTGCAAGGCATTATCCTTCTCTTGCTGTTTACTCAAGTATCGTGGGCCTTGGTTGGGGATGTTTACCCTTTAGCTAGCTCGTGAGGGATCAAGTTGGTTGAAGGAAGTGAGCTCTCAAGCGAAGGAAAATAGCGAGGTTGGTTAAGATAGAAAGCAGCGGCCAAGCTTTGGGAATCTGAGCCGTGATTCGAAGGTTACTTCTGCTGCTAGTCCTAAAGAGGTAAGTGTATGCTCGGTTCAGAGTACAAGGAGAGCAGAAAGAGAAAAGACAGAATACGTGAGTAAGTCAATGAAAGCCAAGTACCTCATGCATCGCGATGATTCAAGGTCTGAGTGGGCTGGTGCACTCTGCCAAGCTGGCCCGCTCGGGAGTCACAGTGACCTGCATCGACCCGGGACCCTTGGCGGGGATGAGAGTGAAGCCGTCGAGTGATATCATGTACTCAATACCTTCAACGCTCGTGATCTCGCCTTTTCCCGTCACCCTGTCGTGCATATATGAAGATCCCGAGCGGGCTCCACAGCGCCTTTTCACATCCCACTGGTGATGTGATAACGCCGTTGGGCTTGCAGATTTCACATGTCACTGGGCCAATGAACGACGGCGACGCGATGCTGAAGTGATTCGATCACAAACCTTGTTTCTGTCTGTTAGAAATTGACTTAAGTGATAAGAGACAAATACGCCATAATTAGTAACAGTTTCCTCAAGTTAATTATAGCAATGTTTTTATTCAACATAATTAACTTTAAATTTAAGGTTAACATTGCTTCCGCTTCTATTTATAAATCCGGGATAATAAGGTTAATTAGCTTGTATTAACCTGATAAAGGGTTGAGAATATGGACTAATTAACTGCACATGACGGCACCTCTTTTCTTCTTCCTCTCGTTCTTCTTCAGTGGTCAAGAAACCCTTCCCTGTCACAAGATATCCAGGAAGCCAAAGAGGGAAGTGCGATCCCGGCCGAGATGGTGATGACCTCTTGCTGTGCCGTCCAGCCTCTTCTTTCCTGCTATTTTATTACTGCCCTATGAGTAATCCATATTTCCTGTATGATATCCCGGGGTATTCCATCCAGTAAGGCATACGGAGTATTCTCTCCTAAAACGTCGATGGCGGACTGATGGCGAATATCTCCTAGCAATTAGTGAACAAGGGAGCTCTCTGACCCATTCCGAACACTTCCATCTATATTTCCCATGCCTCAAGCCGCATGGCACGACAGTCGAATTGCGCCCTGACCAAGATAATATATATGCATACCCAATGGGACTACAGGGTTATACAACCTTGTGTCTCAGCTCCCGAAGCAGAAGTCAATTGCACATCTTCCTAATTATCTGAATCAGCATCACTTCCGGCATCAGTATGCGTTGGCTAAGTGAACTTGTCAGAAATACTCATGGGAAATAAGCCAGGCTCACACGTAGGCGAAATGAAAGCCAGCGGAAGACACATACAGTGTGTGGAATATAGTTAGTCACATACTTTTGTTATCACACTTGCAAGGGAGCCCGTTCAAGCATCCACAGGTGACTCTCACTGGCATTCCGGAAGATATATGTCCGGTTTTATACCATACACCGCTATTGGACAAAATCATGACATCTCGGGTTGTACCCTGTCCCCTGACATCGATTGAGAGGGATACAGTTATATATGGCCATGGTTCTCGAGCTATATACCACACTGATCACTGATGCACTGAAATACATTTTCTTAAATCCCCAGTCTTATAATTTTGATGCATCCCATCAATGCCAGTCACTGAGGCGGGCACCCGAGTTTCCGGAATCAAATCCCAAATTTCCAGGAGCCCCTGTGTATGTGACAAGAGTCTATACCTACATGTCATCATTTCATGCATATCAAGGTGAACCTTTCCGGGCGGAGGGCCTGCTCAGTGCCATGGCATGTAACAATAGTCCTACAATCTCCTCTACGGCATTACCTTCTCTATACTGTTATTGGGAATTAGCAATCTCTAGCTTACACATGTTGCACCTCGTCGCGCTTTGAAACAGCTGTAGGCGCGGTTGTAACTTGTAAAGGGCTTTGGCAAGGTTTTACTATCGCTCATAACATGAGATCCGTCATACCTACAGGTAGGGCAAGGATGGGCTTTAAGAGCAGCTTTCGGCCCTTTCCTATATCCCGGCGACCCGTCACCATGTCATATATCAGCGGGAACCTTTTATTATTATGACTACATGAAAAAGATGCAAGATGAACTCTGCTTAGATATCCTACAATCTGACCGACACCATCATCAAGCTCCAAAGGCTCGTACAATGGCACCTGGATAAGCACAAATTATCCTGCCTAGGCACTGACTAACTGCAACGAAATTACTCTGTCTAAGAGTATCCTGTGCTAACCGCAATTATGTTCTTAAGTAGGAGCAGGTGGTAAGCGCATCCTACAATGAGCAGAATATCATGCACCGTCCAGCATCGTTCCCAATCCCTGGCGTACTGCGGGCGCAAAACGCGGCTTGTCCCCCTTGACATAAATGTACGGTGCCATTTTATCATGCTAGTGAGGTAGCTGCAGCTCTCTATATTGCCTCCCAGCTCTTGGTGCAGGCTATCAACCTACCCATGGACAGGCGACAGCCCACGGCTGCACGATACACTGCAGACGCAATCTCAAGAAGCTGTGATCGATACTCAAGTCATATATCCCTGGAAGGTGACGGCAGAATGGAAATCCAGGTTTTCTTCGATATATGGCTGCCAACTCTTTGCCCGCAGTGTATTTACATCTATGTATGCGCTCCACATGGCTCGTATTCCCCGATAATAAGAGGAGAACCTCTGGTCAGAACCATAAGCGCCTCATGCATCGATCCTCCAGCTATCAGTGCCAGCTCAGGCGTTTTCCAACGGTGAAATAGTTTGTGGTAGTATGTCACTTGATCGTTGCACCACAACGTACGAAGTTCTGAGCACAGCTGTGGCAAATATCTCCTATAATCATGCTGTCCAAGGCTGTGAGAGAGTCAACCGAACTATTGGAATCCTATTGTTGTCCTCGGTACGGCCGACCATTTTCTTCTCAATGCAAAGCGTTGGACTTGCTGTGGGATCAGCAGGACATCTCAACAAACGCCACCGAGTTCACCGGTATCGCTCGCTGCCGAGTATATTGGTATTACTCCGTATATGGTAACTAACGCACTGCTTCGTATGCGAGAATCGGCTTTTTCGTTTGTTACATCTTGCAAAGTTAGACTCGAGCGGTGTAACTAATAAGTTACCTTTTCTTCTTTTCCTTCATTTCCTTTTTTTTGTCTTTTAGTTACCTTTAACTTTGGTGTATATTGTGTTAATGTTATCCGTTAACTCACCATGTGGATGACGCCGTTAACTGACCATCGCCAGACCTTACTTAGACAGCTTCCTCTCTCGGCGAATGGCTTTTGAGACATCTAACATTGTGACGTGCAAGGGCAGCTGGCAAGGTATTATATTTAGGCTGGCCAGGGTGATGCTTGTGCTGCTGCGCCTGGCTCTTCAGCCAACAAGCAAACACAACCCGGAAGCTGTTCAATTCAGAGCTACCTACAGCAGCACGGCTAGTTACATCCCACGGGGAAACTTGACTGATATGCCTGAAATGAGAGACATACATGGACAGTCTTACTTGCACTGCCGCGAGGGTACGCGGTGCTTGTTCGCTCAATTATACTCCGTACTTCGTAGTAAAACACACGGATAGTGGCGAGTGACAGAGGCCAGCCTTCTCAAAGCACAAGTTGCCCAGCAACGACGCAAGAGATGCATCACTATAGTTGCCCAAAGGGGTCATCAATAGGGATAAATTTCAAATAGCGTCTTGTGCTTGTTCCTGGCTGTACCGAGGAGGTACCGGGCCTTGCGGGCATTTCCTGCCTATCGTCCTAGGGTGTCCTTGCCCTAACCAAAGGCCCAAAAAGCAGCATTCCTGTACCATGCGAGATACATATGTGCGTGTCTACCTCTCTGTACACAGGGCAGTACAGACGCATCTATGTGCTGGCGCCGCTTGCCAACGCCGACAGCCACAATAGTGTTCAGTCAGGGAGAAGGGGGGAATGCAACGACAATATATATATGCGAAATGCGAGCCATACATGCGCTGTCCACCGGCAGATCAGTTCTACGAGAGTTTACTTTCCTGCGATGCATTGGATTTTCATGCCTAGGAAGGAGAGATAAGTACAAAAGGAGCAGGCCGAAACCAAAAAGCAAATGCCTGTCCCTTGCCATAACGAGGAGACAGATAGATAGGGAAATGTTGCCCGAGTAACCGCCCTGCAACGAACCTGGGCAGCAGCCAGTAAGGTACATTCTGCAGGCCAACAGCAGGAGAACAGAGGGACAATGCCTGCAGGATTGCGGTGATTGGACTGATAAATTACGCCTAAGTCCTGTCCGTTCTACCTTGAGCAGTTGTTCCCGTACTTACGAAGTACTTGCAAGCTAATTAATGCGCCCATTCATGCATTACATACTGTGAGATGCACGTTCCCGTGCCAAAATGGACCGTCAGGGAGATGGCCCAGAGAAGCCAGTGATTAGTCAAGGCGAGCGTATTTGGCTTTCTCGCTGAAGGATACGGCAATGCAACGATAATTAATGCGAGCAAATTGCAGCCAGTCGAGGGTGGATTTTATTCATGCGGCCGTCGGCCCCCCACCGCCCACTCGCAGCAGCAGCGCCAGGGATTCACGATCGCCAGCGTCATCGACAAAGAGGCTGGCAGAGTGGCAGGGAGGAGTGTGTGTATCAGAGCGAGACAGGAAGCACTCTGCTGGTGAAAGCCAGAGCCATTAAGCTGCATCGGCAAAAGGGAGGTGAGCAACGTAGCTCTGTCAATCTCGGCGCTTAGAGAGGAGAGCGCAAGCCGAAGCCCGGCCCAGAGAGCTCTTACGTATGTACGTATACTACGTATAGTTAACACCCTATAACCGGTGGTTATCTCCTATCAACCGTACATCCCGGCAGAGCGAAGCAAACCTGAGGCACAAGGCCTTGGAGGCCGGGGAGACCCGAGGAGACATCATCCCCTCCCCTGATTCAGCAAGTGAAGAGAGGCGACCGCAGCTCGAGGATTGTAAATTCGACCACAGCGCAACAATCACCTCTTCCTTCCTGTTGGTTTCCGCTGCGACGGATGAACGAGCAGATGATACCCTCTTTTTTTTCGCCTTCCCTGGTCTGGAAGCGAGCGTCTTATATTCCGGTACCAGCCAGCTAGCCTGCTTTTGAGCTGCCTCCCGATCCGATCGCTTTGTTCGCTTTTTTTGCCTGAGAGCATGCTGTCTGGTCACTATGTAGGTATGTGATCTGAGCAGTTGCTGAGCAGCGAGTCTAGATATGCGGGAGCAAGCCCATCTATCACATCACGACCCCGGTGGACAGCCAATCAGTTGCTGCAGACGGCCTGCGACCTCAGGTTAGCGCCCAGCAAGGGAGACATCGGCCCCTTCGCCCCCCCTCCCCCTTGACCATTAGTTGGAGATGGATATAGATAGGGCTCCGCAACGGCAGGCCTCTGCTTTTACATTCATACTTACTCCGTACAATACGCAATGGTAAAATACGGCGAGAGGAAAAAGCCCTTCGAGGGGCCATGGTGGCCCGTCTTGTTGGCCGCAGAGTGCTTCTTCACTCTTATCCAACAAGAAGCCAACGACGATGAGCCCAGAAAAAGCCACCGAGTGTCCATTGGCGCTAGGATATGCAGCTAAAATAAATCGATTTCGTCACGCTCGTCCCGCCCCGTTCCACTTGCTTTCCTCAAACCCTTCATCCTGCTGCGGCCCTCGCCCTTGTTCCCCATATAACACGGACAGGATGCAGGCAGGCGTACTATGTACTGGCCTATCCGGTGCTGGGAGAGGGTATACATCCAGTGTACCTGATGCATGCACCCTGCATAGGCAGAAGAACTTGTCACAGCTATTGTACCCCCGTTAATTCTTCAAGGCCATGTATGGAGCCTGTACGTATGTATGAGCGGGCGGATATGCTGCTGGTGCAGAAGCGGTTTCCACCTCAGGATAGCCCGTACCATATACATACATATACCTATAATGGATGTTACTATGGTATTCTACGGCTGTATCTAAGCCCGATCTTTGCGTGTTGCCTTCTCTGTGCTGGGGGGATCCCTCCCTGGTGAGTGGTTATAAGCGAGAAGAAACAGTGATATTGATCTCTGTTACCTGCTAGCCATCCATTTTTTGCAAAAAAGGAAAGATTTTGAAAAGCAGTGCACTGACGAAAAAGTACAAGTGTGTACGCCGTGGTACACGCAAATGATACTCTGCTCACTGGGGGTTCGCAGCACGGGAGGTTTCTTTTTGGCAGCAAAGGATCCAGCGAAGAGGAGAAGGATGAACGGACTGGATACTGGCCGTTTCCCCAAGCGCCGTCATCTTTTTATATTCCCGCCGTCTCCCACATCAACCCTCCCTCAAGAAGAAAGACCTGGTTTCATCCCGGTGTGAAAGAAGCCGTCACATCACACTCGCTAGACAAGGGTTCCACCCCTTGCCTGGAACTCTATCTCACTTTCAATACGATACGGATGTGCATACGATGATGTACCAAGGGCTGCATCTTCATACGAATTCCTAAAAAAAGATATATATCCTCAACCCCCATCACGCAGCTGGCCCCCCTCCCCGCCCCCTTCCATCGAACATTCGATTGCAAACAGCGGCTGGAGTCGATAAACGCTCGTCGTGGGTTTTGATATATTCATAACTAGAGAGAGGCTCCCTCCTTTTCTTTTCTCTTCGGCCTCACGCCGTTGATTGCTGTTCAACATATACAATACCCCATCCGTACCGGATCTAGAGAGTATAGAATCAGGCAGGCAAGTGGCAGTTGACCTGCCCCAATCAACTATCCACAGTAGTTAGCCAAGTCGGAAATCTATATATACACATGTCAACTTTTACTTGATATCAAGACAACAAGCCGTTGCTGCTGCCTCTTCCGTCCTTTTTTTTGGACCCTGCCTCTCTCTCTAAGTCAGCTTGTCAAAAAACCCGTGTGCACTTATTAAGA